TCGTGTGGAACATAATTAGACATTGATAGGCATATGTCTGGGTGGGGAATTTTATTGCGAGTTCAGTGATATCAAAATAAGCGCTGTAGGATGACTGTGAGGCTGGCAACAAACGAAAGAGTATGAACATTTACTTCCTGTTTGGGTGTCACGGTGAGTCATCTTCGTGTTTATTTACTTCGTGGTGGGATAGCAAATGCTTTGGTGACATTTTATGCATATGATCTTGTAGAGAATTTTATTGCCAACGCATTGATACCAAAATGAAAAACGTAGCTCGAGAATTGATGTTAGGAGCGTGAAAAGATTATACACTTTTTTTGTGTTTACGCTTGAGTGCCCAGAACGCCGCGCGCACAAGGCGCTTTTTTTTTTCACGAGTGCCGCGCGCACTAAAGTGTTAAGACATTTTTTCTGAGGTATGCAGATCTACTATGAAGGTACAGGTCAGTCTTTATGAGTGAGTGCAGTTTGAACTGATGTTACTCATCTTTTTCATTGACTTTTTCCAAATACTGGTATAGAATGTTTTGTAAGTTGAAGCTATTCTGTCTGGCAACAACATGGCTATATCAGGCAAGGGCATAAGGAACTTCCTTGCAATTGATAATAAGGCCGAGTTATTTGTATATGGCATTTGTACTAGTGCTGTTTAAGGAGAAAAAAAAAAAGTGAATGGAGCAGACATCAAATTAGATCATAAAGCGTGTGAATAAAACGAAGAGCAGTGACAAAACCATTGAAACCTTCTAAACTTGAAGACTTGAACAATGATGTTTATTAATAATGTGTGGCAATATAGTCAGGGGCTGGCTGTTGGTGCACTGTTAGTCTCTTGCTGAAAAAATGGTATTAACCATGAGCATGGATTTCTGCAGAATTATTATTCACATGTACAAAAACCATTATTTATATGGATGAGTATGCTGATATTGTGTACTATTGTATATCATTTACTATAAAAAAAAAATGCTAACAAAAAAAAATTGGGAGTGGTAATTTATTGGAAAATCAAATTGGGCCTTTAATATAATTTTCATTTTGAGGAAGCACGCAGCGAGGAAGCAGGAAGTGAAAGCAAACCCCAAGTACATTTTTGGGGTTTATTATTGTTAGGACTACCATACGGAAATAGTAATACAGTACCAGCAGTTTGGCTCACTATAGAAGGAAATAGCACTGCCCAAGCTAAATAACCATAACAAACCTATCATATTCGAGTACACCACACGCCTGATTGAGTGGAATATGATCATCTGGAATGGCGATTTGTTATGCAAGATTTTAATTCCACCAACTGGCTCTTAAATTTCCAGCCAATCATGTAAGAATCATTTTGGACCAGACTTCACATCCACTATATTAAGAATAATCCAATATAAAATAATTTAGCAATCATTTGAAATTAATTGGTAAAATTAATTAATTTTACAAGTATTAGTCAAGTAGGAGGATGCAAGAAACATCAAAATGGGGAAAAATTATACTGTGACAAAGGAGTATGCTATCAGTACCCCGCACCATTTCTGAAATACTAAATCAGAGTTAATTTGTATAGTTTGCTACTAATTGTACTGCATATAATGTATGCAAACTCATTCACTAACATAGAAAGGACACACAATTTGGCCTCTCATGGGTGACTAGGCAAATAACCACACTGCAAGGTACGTTTCGTACTGTACTAAAAAAAACGTGAAAATATTTGTACACGTTTTATTTGTTTTTACAGCTATGCCAAGTTTGTCATCTGAGCATCACATTATTAATACAGTACATATGTTGTTTTTGTATAAAAAAGGCAGGCAATAATCGTAAAAAATGGAAGAAAATTTGAAAATGGATGTACAGCAAGGAAATGTTGTTCACCCCCAACTAGTGCAGTGAATCATGTAATAACTAAAAACACAAATATTCTCCTGAATAGTAAGTAGATTAAATTTCACTGCATGCTGATCACAGTACTAGTTGCTATGATCACCATGCAGCCAAAATAGCCACAATAATGAAAAAAACATTAGAAAATGAACTAAGAATGGAAAAATAGAAAAGCATTCAAGGCCAAGCGTGAATACCATTGAATGCTAACCTAACCTAACCCAGCATAACTTTATACTGTACAGTACAGTAGACCCTGTGCCTTGTGAGAGTTAGGGCAGATGTTCAAATAAAGAATTTTGTTCTCGGCATGACATGCGCATCAAGTTTTAATTTACAGTATCCCGTTTGGATTCCTCTTTTGCATCATGAAACAAAATGTTTTTTGCATTAAGGAATTGCATTCTTATATTACTGACCCTGACATGTTCTGCTGTATCCAAAAATGTTCTATTAAAAAATGATATGTAATGTCCATTCAGCATCACTGTGTACAAATCTACTTTATATAGTATATTTGAGACTAGGAAGTAACAATACAGTATAGTATTTGGTAATAAGCAATCAGGTGTTTATTGAAAGGCACATGGGAAATATCTTTTTTGGGGAAGGAAATCTCAAATTCATCCCTACATTTTCCCATTTTATAATCAAGTTACACATGTGCGTGATCATGCAGCACGAGGCTTTCCCGGAACGCATCTCTTGCGTTACACGAGGGCCTACTGTACTGTTCATTCGCCCTGAAAGAGAGAGATTTGGTGTTAATATATGTAGTAAGGCAAACGTGATACCCGTACTAGTGTCCAGCAATATTTTTTTCCAGAACGAGGAAATAATATTACCTAGCATATTTAATTTTTCCAGCCAATTCTCATCAGAAGCATCCAATATTTATGTTTTTACTATACATAAACATACTAGTCGGCATCAACCCACACTATCTAGCTTAACCCCTACACTGCACACCTGTTTTTGGCAAAAACTTCATAGTGCAATTGTTAAGGACATATTTTTGTTTTTATAAACACAGTATTCAGGTAAAGTTAATGTCAAAATGTTACCAAACTCAACCATTTTCATTTCAAAACACACAGTGATGAAAACATTAAAATATAGCCTAATTAAAAAAAAAAAAAAAAAGTACAGCTCTCGGAACGAGATTTCTCGGTTGGCGCAGTACAGTGGTTAAACCTGAGAAGTAAACATTTCCAATGCATCTATTTCTGGCAAATAACATGCAATTTGTAAGCTTGACTCCCAAGCAGACAAATAGAAGAGCATTACGTGAAGATGGCACCACAAAATGAAACACAAAGAACATTAAATTACAGTGGCTATGTTGATGCCACACTGAATGACACTAAAGTATGCTCTTGTATAACCATGAACCCAATAAAATTTTGTTTTAAAAAGGCACCATGCTCACATTTGCTATTTTCTTAGACCAATGTGAAAATAGTGACCAGCATCATTATCATGACTATGTAAGAGTAGTCACAATATTGAATAAAAGCTAGATTATCTAAATTAATATAGTGCACAATGACAGGAAATTTAAGTACTGTACATTATTACAATTAGTTTAGAACTGAAACTAGTACTTTTGTACTGGCAAATCCACATTAAACAGTAAATTATTTTAATATTTACTTGAACACTGGAAATGTTTTGAAGCTTCTGGCAGGTCAATTGTATTTTAATTTTTGAAGTTGAATATGTATTTTACCCAGTTTATGTTATTAACCACTACACTGCACAAAGCACCTTTAAGCGCTCAGAGAGTTGTGCTGTTTTTTTAATTAGGCTATATTTTAATGTTTTTATTACTCTTTGTGTTTTGAAATGAAAATAGTTGAGTTTGGAAACATTGACATTAAATTTACCCGAATATTTATAAAAACAAAATTGTCCTTGACAATTGCACTAAAAAGTTTTTGTCAAAACCAGGTGTGCAGTGCAGTGGTTAAGTGATTAACTACATTAATCCAACAGGAACAAATCCACAAGGGCCGTGACGAGGATTCAAACCTGCATCCGAGAGCATCCCAGACGCTGCCCTTGTGGATTTGTTCATTTGATGCATCACGCAATTGTGATTTCTGTGTGTAATTAATCCAAAAGGGTTTCATGACCACCCACCTAATTACATACTACCTCAAACCCAATAATAGCCTACCCAAACCTGACCCAAACCTTAGCCAAGGTGAACTCGACACAGCCTAGGCAGGCCCCCGACAGACCTTAGAAGTGCCGGACCAACCGGGCTGTGGTTGGTATGTGGGCCTGCGGGCTGCTCCAAGCAACAGCCTGCTGGACCGAGCACTCACAAGTCTAGCCTGGCCTCGGGCCGGGCTTGGGGAGAACAACACCTCCCAGAACCCCATCAAGCAAGCTGTCCCAACAAACCCAGCAAAGACTACCCCAGCAAAACGTAGCCAAATTTGCCTGCATCTTTAAATGAGATTACCTACAAAATCTACGCAGAAAATCAGCACCACTTGCCATACCAAAACATCAACTATATATAACGTAGAATTAAACAAAACTTTACGGGCTATTCATGCCCGTGCCACCTCTAGGGTAGCTTAATCTTTATCAATCACACAAAACTAGGCCGATGAACCGAAAGAGGAGGCAATCGAGTACTGGTACTTAAGAATTCTAGAAAAATAACAGTTCACTTGATTAAAGACGACCAAGACTAACATTTCCCCCAGTGTTTCTTGCTCTGCATTTGCGTGGATCTCTTGCCCGTATGACGCATGCTATTTCTCATCAAATAGAATGAGCACAATATATGAGTCGACATTCTGAAAATAAACATCATGAAGTTGACGGTGTCTCATTCCTTAGCACTTTTGTTCCACTTATACGATACACCCCGACCCAGAGTAACTGCTAGCCGTGCATCAATAAGTACCTCGGCCATCTTTCCAGTTATAAGAGTTATCAATAGAAGAAGTATACATGGTATTTGTTGTCAATGAGGAGAGGAGGTAGGAGGAGGTCCGCCCCGCCGCCATGTTGAGAGGTCCAGGCCACCGCCTACTGCTCTCCGCCGCGCCTCTCTCTCTCTCTCTCTTTAGACCTACAACGTTCACGACTTGACTAGTGCTTACCAGGACCACTGCTTCACAAGCTATTTGTTGATTTCACTCCTCACAGCTAAAGTTTGGTGTTAAGGGGTATATTCCACTAAATTCTCCTAGCACGAGGTTCAGTGTCCCAGGCGACCATTCTCTCGCTGCAACTCTACATGAATGCTCTTATAAATTTAGCAAATATATTGTTATCGGTTTAATTTTTTAATTGAACTGCAAAAAATTAATTCATTTGAAACAACATGTAATTATTAAATAAGCACAGCGCTATTGCTGTTTTACTAGCTTGATTTTTTTGTGTTTTGTTCTTCATAATAGGAATAACGAAGGACATTATTGGAACCCCGTGACGCCACTTCGCTAACCATTGTTTATCTTCTACCTTCCTTAATACCTATAGCGCCACCCATATAATATAATGAAACAAGGCTAAAGACTATTCAAATACACTTAAAACATATACTAGCTGCAAAGCTGGAGTAAAGTTTCTGTGGCTGCAGACGTGATAACATTTAAATATTATTTAGGCGGGAGATGAGTGTGTTGTCTAGAGATGTACTTGCCGGCTTGGCGCCTTTTGTTTGATAATTACTCACTCGCCTATATGTACGTAATATGAATTTGTTTTTCATTAATATCAGAGCGCAGATCAAGAGTTTACCTACTATATCCATCTCACTATAAAATGGTTAGTCATATATGGAATTAGAATACAATTGATGGGGGGGCTTCGCGAAAACTGCCCATACGTAGGGGGGGGGGGACGCCCCCCACTAATTCATTCGGCACCACTTTATTTTGTTTCAACTCATATTATGCTTGCCACGTTTCGTTTAATCTGGAGCTTTGTACGCATGTATGCACATTTCAAAACAAAAAATTCAGTTCATTTATTATGCACCCCATTTACTGGCAGTTGCTAGGCTGTGTGGGGGAGAAGAGAAAGGAAATTAGGAGCAAGTATTGGCAGGAGTTTGCAGAGAGAGTTGGGAGTAACAGAAACTTGAAGGAAATCTGGCAAGACGTAATTAAAGTAAGGGATAAAAAGCATAATTTTGTTGCACATCCTGATCCGCAAGGAATTGCAAATGGTCTCGTAAATAAATGGGCGGAAGCTGCCAAACTTAGTTCATTACCCGCTGTAACGAGAGAGTCATTAGATTCTTGGAAAGATCTAAGAAAGGATTTTATACTTACAGCAGGTAACAGTGGTGATGTCACTTGTACAGGTATTACCAGAGAAGAACTAATAACGGCGATTAAAGTTGGAAAATCTACCGCCCCTAGGGAGGATGGAGTAACTTATGAAATACTTAACAGTCCGGACCGGCCTGCGGTCGTGTGCGGTCGCAGTGTAGGCGCTCATGGATATTGTGAAATTGTGCTCAACTGCTACATTTGTACTGTGTATCTGCGTGTTGGGAAAATGGCAGAGGTAGTCTGCCTCAGTGATGGACAATCCTGTACTGGGACTGTCGATTGTGAGAGTGAGGATGACTCTCAAGTACAGGGTGATACCAGGCCGTACCACGTCACCCTGCGTGACATCTCCCGTCACAAGGGTACAGTCGCACCTCCACAGATCTCCAGTATCATCTATTGATACTGGTAATGGCTCAAAAGGGCCACCACTTACGGGCTATTCATGCCCGTGCCACCTTTTGGGTGGCTTAATCTTCATCAATCATCAATCAGGCCGTACCAAGTTGCAATGTCCAGGAAGAAACGGCGTAGTTTTCATAGACAGCGAGACAGTGATAGTGGACAGGACATGAAAAAGAAACAGAAAAATTGCTGTGATCCACGACAGGAGACACCAGTGGTACAAACTCCCAGGAACTCTCAACAGGCAACCCTACCCAGTAGGACGCAAGACACGAAGAATAATAGAAGGAAGTGGCTGTTGTTCTCTACAACATGCCAAATGAACTTCCATCAAAAACTGGAGTGGACGGTACGTCTGGCTGAGGAGTGTTTGGAATATGAACCACTCTTCAAGGAGGGTCTTCACCGGCCCTACATAACAGTTGGGTCAGAAAAGGCCGTGGAACGCCTAACGACGGTTGGTTTTGAGAACATTGTGATGGTTACTCCGGAAGAAGGTATTGTGCACACCAAGGTCATTGTTTTAAGTATCCAACTTATTTGGATCCTGATTGTCTTCTTCTCAACAATGATAGTGTTGTATGGGCAAAGAGGAACAGTGTTCGTGGTGACAAACAAAGCCAGGTTGTTACCTTGATAAAGGGTGAGGCTCCGGAAAGAATTTTTGTGCAAGGACTAGGCTAAAGGAAAGTTGCAAAATATATTGAGGAGCCCATATTATGCATGAAGTGTCCACGTTGGGGACATATGGCATGGAAATACCCGTTTGACCCCAGGTGTCGGTATTGTGGTAAGAAACACGACTCGCAAGAGTGTAGAGTCAAGATTGAAAAAAGTGAAAAAATCGTCCCATTTTGTTGCAATTGTCGAGGCAGCCACAATGCTGGTTCCTATTTATGCCGCATGAAGCCTAATCTGAGAGAGACTAGGACGGGTCCTACAAGAATGATAGATGTATCCTCGAAGAAAGGAAATATTGTGCAGCAGGAACATGGAGGAAACAGCTGGAAGCCAACGACAGCCCCTATGAACAATGTGGGGGAGAAAGGAACGGAGATAATTAAGGTGAGCCTAGGGAAAGTAGGTAATGCAGTTGAAAACCTGAAACCTTGTGAGGACAAGGTTCTGGAGAATATGGTCAACTCTGAGGTTGGTAATCAAATTTTGGAATATCTAAAAAATTAGACAAGAGGATTGAAGCATTGGAAAAATTGGCTATGGAGGGTAGACGGGGAGAAGATGATGGTGAAACAGGATGTGTAATTGAAAGTAAAACAGGATGTGAAATGAACATAAGAACAAAGGTAACTGCAGAAGGCCTATTGGCCCATACGAGGCAGCTCCTATTCTATAACCACCCAATCCCACTCATATACTTGTCCAACCCGCGCTTGAAACAATCGAGGGACACCACCTCCACCACGTTACGCGGCAATTGGTTCCACAAATCTACAACCCTGTTACTGAACCAGTATTTACCCAAGTCTTTCCTAAATCTAAACTTATCCAATTTATACCCATTGTTTCGTGTTCTGTCCTGTGTTGATACTTTTAATACCCTATTAATATCCCCCTTGTTATGTCCATTCACCCACTTGTAAACCTCTATCATGTCGCCCCTAAAATGGAAAGTGAAACGTGTGTAGAAGAAAGTAAGGAAGCGCATGACGTAACGATGATAGAGAATAGTCAGGAAAATACACTTTCTAGTAGTGTTAGCGGTGTTTAACCTCCTGTTGTGACAAATGTTGAAACAAAGGTTAAAGTAAAAAGGTATACAGAATTGAAACAAAGGTAAAAGTAAAACGGTATACAGAAATAACAAAGAAAATTGATATGAATAATATTTCCTTTGATGTTGGTAGCAGTTGTGCAAGTGAGGAGAAAGAAAAAATGTTACGGTGTTGGAAGGAAGTTTCTAAGGTACTCTCGTATCTCATGGAATGTGACGGACAGGGCAAAGGTAGTTTTATTATTAATTATGGATGAAAGTAGATTGAGAATATTATCTTGGAACGTTAATGGATTAAAAACTAGAGCGGTGGATGTACACTATTATACTCTTAGAGAGAATATTGACATAGTAGCATTCCAGGAAACTGGGGATAAAGATGGTAGCATTCTGAGGCTAAATTGCTATACAGGTTTTCACTTATATGCTGATGGAGGAACTAGGGGGGTCTCATGTTATGTCAAAAGTACCATACCTGCCGAGATAACTGGAATCCCTCAGAGATATAGAGGTATTGAAAGTATTAGCTTGCGGATACAATTAAAGGACCGAGAGTTAAATTTCATTAATCTATACATTTCTGATAGCTCCCTTGATTTAAGATACTTGCCAGATTCCTTCTTTTCTGAAGATACACTTGTGGTAGGGGATTTTAATGCCAGACATACAGCTTTAGGATCAAGTGGTAAAGCAAATAAAAATGGTTGCAGATGGTACCAGTTTTTGCAGAAACATGAAGATGTTCAACTGCTGGGCGAGCCCTCTCCTTCTCATCTGAGGGGAGGGAGATTAGGTTATGCTTGTTTGATAAATGCTGAGGGCATAGAGGGGAATTGTCTTACTGTGGATGAAATGCTAAGTGATCATTTTGCATTACAAATACAACTTAAACTAGATAAAAAGCATGCTTGCCTTCAGAGGAAAAGGTTAGAGTTTAATGAGGGAGAATTAAGGGGTCTTGTTGGTCATATTAAGTCTTGGTATGATACTTATAAGCCAGTTTCGGCAGAAGCATTTTATGAAGATCTAATTAAGGAGGTAGATGTATTTAATGCAACATTGAACCGGAAACCATCTAGTATAAAAAGGCATCCCCCCAGAAAAGAAAATTATACACATGACAAGATGCTTAAGGGGTGGACATTAACAATGAGAGCTCACAGGAATTGGAATAGGAATGGTAGGACTGAGGAAGGGAAGAATGCTTTACTGGCAGTTGCCAGGCTGTGTGGGGGAGAAGAGAAAGGAAATTAGGAAAAAGTATTGGCAGGAATTTGCAGAGAAAGTTGGGAGTAACAGAAACTTGAAGGAAATCTGGCAAGACGTAAATAAAGTAAGGGGGTAAAAAGCATAATTTTGTTGCACATCCTGACCCGCAAGGAATTGCAAATGGTCTCGTAAATAAATGGGCGGAAGCTGTCAAACTTAGTTCATTACCCGCTGTAACGAGAGAGTCATTAGATTCTTGGAAAGATCTAAGAAAGGATTTTATACTTACAGCAGGTAACAGTGGTGATGTCACTTGCACAGATATTACCAGACAGATGAAGTAATAACGGCGATTAAAGTTGGGAAATCTACCGCCCCTGGGGAGGTTGAAGTAACTTATGAAATACTTAATGAACTTGCCATTATGACGAAAAACCCACTGTTAGACCTTTTTAATATTAGTTATAAAGAGGGCAGTTTGCCAGTAAATGGAAAAAAGCTATGATCATCCCTATCCCTAAAGCCAATGGAGAGTATAGACCTGTGTCTTTAACCTCGTGTTTTTGTAAAATGATGGAGAGGATCATTTTAAATAGACTTTTATATATA